AGCCAGTGAGCGGGAACCGGTCTGTATGTGGGATCCGAACCCTCGGGTGGGAGCGCCGCCGCGCTTCCCAAGCGGCGCACTATCCAGTGCGCCACCGGGCCGGCCCTATCACTGTTTCTTTTTATTATTAACTAAACTTTAAACTTTATTTGGACATCACAAATTTCTCCATTAATGTCTTCTTTCTGTTCCAGGATCAAATCCACGGTTCCACATTGCATTTAGTTGTCCTGTCTCCCGAGTCTCCTCTGATCTGTGACAGTTTCTCAGCGTTTTCTTATTTTTCATGACCTTAAGAGTCTTGAGGAGTACTAGGCTCGTATCTGTCTTGCAGACAGATGTGTATCTAATGTTTTTCTCATGATTACACTGGAGTTATGGGCTTGGGAAAATGATGCCACAGAAGTGAAATGTTTTTCTCATCACATCATATCATGGAGTACAACTCAACTCCACAGTATCACTCATGATGTTAACTTTTATCACTTTGTTAAAACAGTGCCTGCCAGGTTTCTTCTCCGTAAAGTTGTGATTGTTTTCCATACTCTATTTTGGAAGTGAATTACTAAGTCTAGACCATCCTTAAGCAGGGAGGCTTAAACTCTACCTTCTAGAGAGAAGAATAACTACAATTCTGATTACAGTTTGTAATATTTCTCTAAAGATTTGCCTCACCTCTCTATTTTACATAAGTGAAATTTATTACCATTTATATCAGTGTGGATTCATGGGTATTCATTTTATACTTTGGATTATAATCCAGTCATCTAATTGTACATTTTGTTGTTTAAATCATTCCAGTTTTAGCCAGTGGGAGCTAGCTGGTTTTCATCATTTCTAAAATATTGGTTATAAGGAGTTTCATCCAGGTCAATTCCTTCTAAACCAATATTCTTAAACAGCAGCTCCTCTACAATGATCTCTAATATCTACCCTAAACAGTCCTTTCCTGCTTAACCACACTGAAATTGATTAACATTAATCCTTTTATCTTAACAGGTCTGTGTCATGAATCAATTGCCTCTCCTCTGATACTGACAAAACTACAATGCATTTGAGCAAACCAGGTTATATGCCCAATGTTCAACCTGTCAGGCTTAGATTTGGCAAGGTGATTTGCTGTACTATAATAATCCATTTAGCAACACAAAATAAATATATGATTCTTTCTTTGATGCAAAAAAGCAAAACTTTAGCTAAAAGTCAAGAAGTAACCAAGAGAGTAATAAAACTAATAAAAATCTAAGGGGGTATTTGTATGCTGATACTTCTACCATAGCACACTTGTAAACTTCTGCAAACATATAACATTATATTTTCAGGTAAACCTGCATGGCTGTTATATTTGATACCTTATTTATGGTTTCAAATATACCCATTTACTTCTCTTCTCTATAGACACCAGCACTGTTAATAGGTTCCAACATTAACATTTCCCAATACCAATTTTGCTAAATTTTCCACTTATCCACACCCAAAATGACCATTCACAGTACTAGAAACCTTGGTTTTTCTCAATATGAAGCCAAGAGAGCTGCTATTCAACACAGTGGATCTTCAAGTACAAAGACTAATTTAAAACGTGCTTACATAGTTTATTTTTAAAGTAATTTAAAACACAGTGTAAACATACATTAAAGACATTGTGGCAATTTAGATTAGAAATGACATGAGGTTATTTACATGTGGCATATGTATGTGTGTAAATATATACACAAAGTGCAGATAAATACAGAAACACTACAAAATAAACAAAAAATTCAATATGATAATTTATTGACAATCATATTCATTATATTTATTATTTAATTTGTCATGTTAATGGCTGCAAAAAAAAAGAAGCTCCTAGTACTGAAATATAATATGTAAATATCCAACTTTTATATAAACTATAGTACCTCAAATTTTAACAGTATATAAATAGGATTCTGAATTAAAAACCCAGGCGTCTTCCCTGCCAAACTCTTGTAAAGGTCTCAGCTCAGAATTCAAGGACTCTTGAAAGACCAGCCTCCAATATGTGGTGATACCTTGGATTTTAAGCATAAATCAAATGCAGACAGTGTTCTTAAATCAGTTCTAGTGGGTGTTACTCTACAAAAAGGAGGTGGTTGAGGATACTCTAGCAGATATAAAACCTCTAGCATTCTGCCTATATAGAACAATGTACACTTTTAATCTTATAGACTGAGCGGGTTTAAGCAAAACTGGGTTGCTTTCAACCTTGGAAGGGTAAAGACCATGGGAAACACTGGTGAGAGATGGCAGGTGTTAAAAAGGGGAGAAAGTGGTCATCTAATTAAGGTGGACTTGGCACCTTCCACCCTCCTCCAATACTTAAGTTCCTCAAGGAGCCCTGTACATGAGCATCTTGAATGGTGGAGAATATTTATGTTGGTAATAACTGAAAATTGTCCCTGCCTTTTGGGACTCCTCAGTAAGCACACAAACTCCATTTCTCCCTATAGCACCAAGAAATGTTCACCCTGAACTTGGCATTTCTCTCATGAGTGCCAAGGGAAGAAGTGATGACCTGCTGAGCTCCCAGTCCATCCAACAGCTTCTAAACATGGGTCTAGGACATGCGGATCAGGTTTCTGCCAATGGCTTACTGTGAGTGCTGTCAACATTCTTATTCAAGATTCTTTACTTAAAACCATGAGTACAGCTGCCCTAAAGAATGGAAAATTCAATTTATTGATCTGATCCAGGGTTATTATGGAGTGGAATCTGCACATTTTGAAGCAGGGAGATAAATGGTGACAACAGATGGGTACAGTCAATGTGTTCAGGAAATTGAGACTAGTTGATAAATACCTGATATTAAGTCTGAGAATCAACAAAAGACAGGCAGGACATAGACTGTTTACAAAGGCTAACCTCATTTTTATGAAGTGTTTTGATTTGGGAAGGTAACAAAAAAGGGTAGGAGGCAAAATTAAACAGGAATTTTTACCCTAAAGGGGAAACGTTTAGTGAAGAGGAAAATAATTTCTGTATAGCAGTCGAGCCTCTGCTTTTTTTCTTTACCAGGAGATATGATTTTGGGTTCCTACCCAGTAATGTGAGGTCACGGTAATAGCTGCAAATTATGAATATACTGTAAAACCAAAGAACAAAACCTGTTCCTAAATTGGTCTGCCTTGGACTTCAGTCAATAAAGTATCAATCGAGTGGGAGTTCTAAATGCTAATTAAGGCATCCTGAATAGGTAATGGGGGTATAACCACAAACTGAAGTTTGAGTCAAGACTCTGAGGGATTCTTTGAAACCAACACTTATGTGACTGTTGTTATTCTTTCTGACTTTTGATACAGACAGACTTGAAGAATGAGGCTGTAATGAGGTTAGCAGGGTGTCATCTTCATAGGATTATAGTAAAACCTTGTTTTCCCCACAACATCACAACATACTGTATTTTTAGAAAGCATGTCACAATATGTAAAACTAATTATTGCAGAATAAGAATAAAAGCCATTATATATCTTTAATTTTCTTATTTGGGAACCTGGATAGTCTGGGATTGTAAAGTACATTTTTTTCTCCACCATCCCTGAAAGAGCCAGCCAGTGAGCCATCACTGAGAAACATGGTTATGCTCATGCACGTTACAAAGTACAGAGACCCAATGCAACAAGCAAAACCACTCACATCAAACAAGGAGAAACGGTACTTCCTCATACTTCATGGACATTATAGGAATACAAAGATTATTTTACTTTTCAGACATTTACACATAACACAACAGAAAAATCCTTCAGTCGACTGACTAGTTTCTATCAACTTGGTAGAGTTATGGCACAACAAAAGAGTCACCTGTGAAATACACAAATGTTTTGTACTCAAGGATATTTTCATATAACACGAGATGATTAACTTAGACCCCTCAATCTTATCCTCATACTGATTATACTGTAAGCAGTGATTATGGTGTCCATGTTGCATGTTTTGAAATGTGAATGTGGCAATTCTAATATATCTTCACATTGTCTCTGAAAAGCTAAGGTAATGATTGAAATGCTATTGTAATTTTGAATGTGATCCTCTTCCAATGTCTGGCATTACCTTCCTATGTAATTACTCTTCCGTGTGACTTAGAGTACACGTCCCGATTTTTGCAATGCTCATAAATACCTAATCTGTAGTAAATTTACTTCAAAAGAAAAGCAACTTTAGCTTGTCTCTAGGATATAGCTATGACTTGCTTACATATGTAATCAATACGAAGAAAAATGAACCACCTCACAAATCTATCAGATTAAAACGTTAAACAAAAGTGCAACTTGAACCAGCACTTTTGTAGCTTGCTTCAGGAAAGGGACCACAGCAAGTACTGCCACACACACTATCAGAAAGGAGAACTGGGCTTCACACTTATGTCCTCTACAGCAAAAACTTTAATTCCTCAATGAGCATCACTAGAATTAGCTCATAGACAACTCAGAAGCAGGAACACTCTGAACACTCTGGTCTGTGTTAAAATGAAATGAAGGTTGAGATTTCTTTATGCAGCAGCAAGAGAAGTTGGATTCTGATTCCTCTTTGGAGTCAAGTTGGTCTTTGAAAGAAAATCAATTTGCTTTAAGAGGTTCTAACCTAGCAGGATGCCAGATGATGGCAAGGGTGCTTAAACTGAGGGTGCTATATGGACAAGGGACTGGTACATTGGAAAGACTACCTTCTGTTCCAGCAGAGGGTAATTAGAGCGTCAACAATACTGTTATTACCACTAAGGGCCAGCAAAGACCTAGACCAGGAAGCTCCAGCAACACCTGATAACAGTGTACAGAGATCAATAACAGGAGTTAAATGAGAAAGAAAATCTTTTATCAGATTTTCTATTACATTACTAATTTTTATAACATTAAAATATTTTTCATTCTTCTATTTCGATTCACTGATATTTATTCCTGGTTTTGACTCTCTGCTTACTGTTAATCTATTTGTTAATTCTAATCCATTATTTTCTTTTTTAAAAGCATAAATGCTCTCAGGCATAGTTGTTTATGTGTGTTTAACCTGTCAACTCTAGAAACATTAAAGTAGAAGAGATTGACATTACAGATTATAATGTCATGTAAAAAGAGTTTTATGCAGTCAATACCTGAGTGTCTATACAGTGGGAAACTCTGAAGTAATAAGTAAGATATCAAGGCCAAGTAGGCCAGGATTATGGCAGTCAAATGACAGGTAACCAGCTTTTTGGAATCTTAAGAAGAAAACCTCTTTGCCATATATAGATATTTACAGAAATATCAAAATTATTGAAATAGAAATAATGGTTGATGTGTGATCAGATGTTGATAATATATTAAAATGGGTAGTAAATACCTATTTCTATGCTCTGTAAGTTTAATGAAATTTCTAATAAAGTCTGTCAACTGAATGGCATAAAAGAAAATCAGGTACAGATTTTATTCCTGCTAAAGATGATGAAACAATTTCAAACTTTGTGGTTCATAATTTAAGACTCCTGTACCTTTGTGCTTATTTTCTGTTTCAATTAAGCCTAGCCTTTAGAAGGCATAGCTTCCCTACTAGCATCTTCAAATATCTTTATCATTTGTAGAAGAACATCTCAAAAGCCAAAACTGGATACCATTAAAATACCTTGCCAGTTGACAATGTTACAAGTGAAATTCGAGTTGTATGCCCTTATATTGCACTCTTACAGTTTTCCCATTAGTGTAATTATTTTTTTGTGATGCCATTATAATGATACTAGCAGAGAATATGTGCGTATGATTTATCAGTATCAGTATGTTAATGTAGTAAAATTTCATAATAAATCCCAAAGTTATGACAATAGTTTTACATATTCTCTAAACTGAGTCAGCAAACTATGACCCATGAGCCAAATCTAAACTGTCACAAAAATATTTACTATAAAGTCTTCACAGAAATAGTTTGCTAACCCCTGCTCTAAACCTATGGAAGGTGTCTGGAATGTTGGATGGATTGTTTACAGTGGAATCAGTGTATGACTTAATTTGGCTTTCTTTACAGACAACATATACATTATTGCTTTTGAATATCATCATCTACTTGGAAAACAAATAAAAATAAAGTTATGTTAAAACAAAGACACATCCTTGAAATGTTTAGGACCAGCAAAACAATCATATATAAAAGTAGTATATTTTTAAGAAAAAATAATAAAGGAACAATTTAAATTACATTTTTAAGCAATGATTTCAAGGTTCCTTAGAGAATTCCAGGCATTAAAGGACAGATCTCAAACTCCATATAGCAGATTTCTGGTTTCTAAATTTTTGGAACATAGAATTTAACACAGTATCTGAGATTCTACAATTGCTATGGAAGAGACATTGTGGAGAGTTACTTATTATCCAAAACAAACAAACAAACAAACAAACAAACAAACAAACAAACAAACAAACAAAAACCCCAAACACCCCGGGATATTTTAAAATAAGAAACCAGCCAAAAAAGAATGGCCAACAATTAAAACATTTTTTTCTTTATCCATAAATTGGGAGGTACATAGTCTGCTGGTGAAGAACTTGATAGAAACTGACTGCTTTCATTTAGTGGGCTGATCCCCATATCTGTGTCAGATACAATCATAGCACTTATTATTTGTTACCATGGATACCATGAAGATACTGCCATCCACCAAACAGTATTAGAGGAAGACAACATAATTCTCCGGGACCAGTCCTGTTTTGCCTTCGTAAGTTGCCTTTAACCATCCTGGTTCCACCGATGGGTACACTGGCAAAATAAATAAATAAATAAATAATAGATAGACAGATAAATAAACAGATAAATAAATGTCACTCAATATTAGCTTCAAATAATTATATAAGCAAATGAGTAAAAACTCACATCAGATTGCATACACACACTCAAATTGTCAAAACAAAACATTGTCACAGCCCCTTTAAAATCATAATCTCTCCCTCTCTCTCTCACAAACACACACCTGCCCACAGGGGAAGAAACTGGGGTCCAGCGGGATTTGATGTGTTCACTCCCACAGAATAGAATCTGTGGCTCCTGGCTTCTGCTTTAGACTCTCACCTCCGTGCTACTTCATCCTCCCCATGATGATAAGCTTAAGGGAAGGGAACGGATGGACTCACCGTTAGAAAATATCGCGCCCTGTGGGAAGGAGAGCTCATGGCTGTGCTCTGCTTTACAGGAATACATGGCTTTGGCATGGCTGAAAGATCAAGACAAACTGTAAAAACCACAACATTCAACTTGAGTACATCTATACTTAAAACTATTATTAGGAATGCTATTAATTTTTATTTATAATTGGAATGTAATATACATAAAGTATGTATGTAAGTACACCAGTATATTTTCCACAAACTGAACACTATCGTGTAACCACGTCAAGAAACTGATCATTACTAGCACACCAAAAGTCCTTCTTGTGTTTCCAGGAAATGCCCCCCAAGGATAACCACCTGCCTTATAAAAAACAGTACAGATTGGTTTTGATGACTGTTATTTAATTGTTAGTAAGCTACTAAATAGGCTGTTTTTACAGCTAGGAACCAAGGTTCATAGTTACCCTAAAATTTTTTTTCCCACTTTCATTCTCAGACTACCTGAGGTGAGATCCCAAAATTAAAAGGTCTATAGGATCCGCTAAATAGGTTGAGTGGCATGATATAAGAAAAAGAGTGAGATAAATGGATGATAAATGGCAATCAACTATAGTCTCACTGTCCAGGAGACAATGGGGATAGACAGAGACTTTGCAAACCAGAGTATACTCTTCTCCTAAAAAGGGGTGCCAAGACTCAACTTTCCACATCTGTTACCACATGCGAATTCAGGCTCAATGTAGCCAGCCACTCTGGCTTTTTAAGAGAAGCCAGAATTTTGGAGTTTTATATGATATCTGATTCTAAAACATTTGAGCCAACACTAAAAGCCATCATCCGAGGCTGCTAATCAAGCCACTAGGTATTCCTCTTTATTCTGCAACATTCAGTTATCCTGACCCCACCCACTTATCACCTCTCTATGACCAGAGTCCATGCCAGTATCACTTCCAGCCTGTCTGACTGAAGAATAAAAACCATTTGAAGATGAAAAAGCTCAGTAAATATGTGCTAAATGAATGAGTGAAATGGCTCCCTAACTTCTTAAAGGCGTCCTCTTTTGTTCCCTTCCCATCCATTATCGACAGAGCAGCCACAGGGCAGTTTTGAAGCGTCCATCACATCATGTTACTTCCCTGAGAACAACCCTTCAACTGGTTTCCTACTCTGGCCAACAAACTACGCACAAACAGGCCCCTGTCAGTCTCCCCTGTCTGCTTTTGTTTCTGCTCACCTACTACACTCCAGTTAAACCAGCCTTCTTTCTCTTCCTCAAACATGTCAAACTCAAGCCCATTCCAGGGCGAGCTGTCCTGCTCCCTGAGATGTTTTCTGCTTGATCCTCACACGGCTGTGCACTTCAGGTTCATCTTAAATTTCATGAGCTTTGCTGAAGGGCAGGCCTTTTCTGAGCACACACTCTAACACAGCTGCCTATCATATCCTCCTGCTTTACATCCTCTGTAGCAGTGCGCCACCGGGCCGGCCCGAGATACTTTCCTTCTATACCTAATTTGTGAAGAGCCTTTATCATGAAGTGATGTTGAATTTTGTTGAATGCTTTTTCTGTGTCTACTGAGATAATCCTTGATTTTGTTGATGTGGTGTATCACATTTATTGACTTGTGTATATTGAAACATCCTTTCCTCCCTGAGATGAATCTCACTTGATCATGGCGTATAATTTTTTTGGATGTGTTGCTGTATTCTGACTGCTAATATTTTGTTAAGGATTTTTGCGTCTATGTTTATCAGAGATATTAGTCTGTGGTTTTCTTTTTCTGTTGTACCTTTGCCTGGTTTTGGTATCAAGTTGATGCTGACCTCACAGAGTGAGTTTGGGAGAGTGGTCTCTGTTTCAATTTTTTGGAATAGTTTGGAGATAATTGATATTAATTCCTCTTTAAAGGTTTGGTAGAATTCAGCAGTAAAGCCATCCAGTACTGGGCTTAAGAAATCAAGAAAGCTGGCTGACTGGTTAGCTCAGTTGGTTAGAGTGCTATGTTATAGCACCAAGGTCAAGAGTTTGAATCCCTGTACTGGCCAGCTGCCAAAAAAAAAAAAAAAGGAAAAGAAATCAAGAAAGCAAGCCCATTTATAATGGTCACCCCCACCCCCCCATAATAAAATACTGAAATACCTAGGAATCAGTTTATAACCAAGGAGGTGAAAGAGCTCTACAATGAAAGAAATTAAATAGGACTACTGAAAGAAATTAAATAGGACAAAAAAAAATGTGAAATGACATTCCACGCTGCTGGATTAGAAGAATTAACATTGTGAAAATGTCCATACTACCCAAAGCAATCTATAGATTCAGTGCAATCCCCATCAAAATACCAATGATTTTCTTTACAGAAATAGAAGAAAACAATCCTAACATTCATACTGAACCACAAAAGATCCCTAATAGCCAAAAAATAAAGCTGGAGGCATAACACTACCTGATTTCAAATTATACTACAAAGCTATAGTAACCAAAGCAGCATGGTACAGGCATAAAAACAGACAATTGGACCAATGGAACAGAATAGAGAACCCAGAAATCAACCCATGGACTTATAGCCAACTGATCTTTGACAAAGGCAACAAGAACATACACTGTGGAAAAGACTGCCTCTTCAATAAGTGATTCTGGGAAAACAGTGAGAAAACAATACGTCCACATGTGGGAGAAAGAACTAGACCTGTACCTCTCACCATATACCAAAATCAACACAAAATGGGTTAAAGAGTTAAATATAAGACCTTAAACTATAAAAATACTGAAAGAAAACAGTGGAAGTTGGACTTTGGAAAGACTTTATGAATAAGACCCCAAAAGCACAAGCAACAAAAGAAAAAATGAACAAATGGTATTATATCAAGCTAAAATAGCTTCTACACAGCAAAGGAAACAATCAGAGTGAAAAGACAACCTACAGAATGAGAGAAAATATTTGCAAACTATACATCGGACAAAGAATTAATATCCAGAATACATGAGGAACTCAAACAACTTCACAGTAAAAAAAAAAAGAAAAGAAAAAATCCAATTAAAAAATGAGCAAAGGAGCTGAATGCACATCTTGCAAAGGAAGTCATACAAATGGCCAACAGTTACATGAAAAAATGCTCAACATCACTAATCATCACGGAAATGCAAACCAAAACCACACTGAGATATCATCTCACCCCAGTTAGACTGGTTATTACCAAAAAGACTGAGAATAACAAATGCTGGCAAGGATACAGAGAAAAGGGAGCACTTCTTCACTGTTGGTGGACTGTAAATTAGTACAGTCATTATGGAAAACAGTATGGAGGTTTTTCAAACAACTACAGACATATCTATCATGCGATCCAGCGATCCCACTACTGGGTATATACCCAAAGGAATGGAAATCATTGTGTGCAAGGGATACCAGCACTCCTATTTATGGCAGCTCTATTTAGAATAGCTAAGATAGGGGACCAACCAAAATATCCATCGACAGACAACTGGATAAGGAAAACGTGCTCTCTCTCTCTCTCTCTCTCTCTCTCTCTCTCTATATATATATATATATACACACACACACACACACACAATGGAATACTACCCAACCATTAAAGAGAAAGAGATTCTGCCGTTTGCATCAACATGGATGAGCTTGGAGTAAATTATGTTAAGTGAAATAAGCCAGGCACAGAAAGAGAAATACCACATGTTCTCACTCATAAGTGGGTGGGAGGGAAGGGGGAAGGGGGTAGGGCAGGGAGGAAGAAAAGTAAAGAAGACAAGACCACAATAATTTGTTGAACTCAGAAGGAGAGAATAAAACCTATGGTTACTAGAGGTGGAAAAGAGGAGGGGGAGAGGAATTAGGGAGAAATTGGGTAAGAGACACAGAGAATAATTATGATTTGTAATAATGAATATGCTAATAATATTGATTTGTCATCACAAATTATATACAAATACTGATAGTCACTCTGTACCCCATAAATATGTATAATCATTGTTTCAATTTAAAAATAAAGTTAAAAAAAATAATTTCCACAACTTTGGAAATTATGATATAATATTCTTTGCAGTGATATTTTTGAAACTACCCTTTAAATTGTAACCAAATTCTTCTTATGAATACTTCAGACATGAATGTTCTCCTTATGGTATTTAATGAGACTGGATGGGGAAGGGGAGAAGCATACAGAATAATGAACTACTAGAAAAATAGATATTGTTAAATGTGTCAAAAATACACAGCACAAAATAACTATCTGTCATGACTTTTCAATTATTTGTGCATATGAGCAGACAGACAGAATTTTCTTCTGCTGAGATCTGTAACTACAGGTGTTAACTTGGCAGAGAGCTTTTGATGAGTTAATGTAGACTTGTGTGACAGTGAAGTTTCCTCTCTAGGTGTTAATGCTTCCTCTTTTACTGCCTTGCTATATCGAAGAGGATGTGAAAATAACACTGTCACCTATTGTGTTTCTCTTCATAAGATTCTAATACCCCTTTGAAAAGGATTTTGAAAATCCTGCTTCTTACTGAATGTGTAAGCAAGGTAATGACACCCACAGTCCTGAAAGCCATTTCTTCCCTTATTATCAGGAAAATGATCTGCTCACAAGCCTCATTCCTAATTCTAAATGCCTTCTAGAGATGAGTAAACTTACAAAGGTTTGACAGGGTCAGTGTGCAAACTTCACCAATGCTTATCTTAAATGTAAGAAAAATCAAGTTCACCAAAATTGATACAATGTTTTCTGGAGGGCCACTTAACAATGATAAACACACACACATGCATTGTGTATACTACTGACAGTTTCACTACGAACACACACACATATAGTTAGAAAGATGCCAAAGAAATACTACATGTAAAAGCTAAAAACAAAAAAATCATCAACAATCTAAGTGTCTATCAGTAGAGGACTTAATAAATTAGAGTATGCCAATACAATGAAGTATTAGGCAGCAACTACAAATAATGCTACTGAAGAACACATGCCATGAAATATTAAAGTGTAAGACAAAAAAAAAAATTTACAATTTTGTCTTTGGCAAGACCCTTAATTGCCCAGTAAATAATGCGTTTGCTTCTTGGTCACTGGTTGGGGATTTCTTAAAATTTGTCACATTTTCTTTTCAACAATACTGGCTATTTCTGGCTTGGAAATCTCAGTGAGTATTGGATGCCTCAATGCTAAAGAACTTTCACCCAAGTTTGCAGAGTTAAAGCTGCTTATGTCAAAGACATGCACATAGCAACAGCACTGAAAAGTGAAAAAGGGAGTAACAGAGTATTTTTAGGTTAAAAATGTGTACTTTATACATTCATTCAACAATTTTATTGAGCATCTATTCTGTGTTGGCCTCTATGGTAGGACAATACAGTGAACAACACTTCCATGGATCCTTTTCTGTGTGTTTATCCCAGAGCAGTAGTTCTCAAAGTGTACTCAGGGGAACGTGGAATGGAGGGACAGAGGGGACAGGTGAGACCCAAAGACATCAGTGCTCTGACAGCTAATGGAATGTGTATGAGAATCCATTTATTTTGTGTTATGCCAGGTATTAAAGAGATCTTCAAAAATGTAAAACAACACAACTCTCTACTTTTCGGTTTTGAAAAATACTATTTTTCATACAAATTACATTATTTGTGCTAATATGCAATGGGCTTATTCTTATTTTAAATAAACTAGTGAATATTTTTTAAAAAAAATCAGTTTAAATTTCTAATAGTGTAAATATCAATATATATAACTCACATAAAGAAAAGCTCTTGGGAAATCCTTAATAATTTTTTAAGTTTATAAAGGTGTCCTGAGACCAAAAAGTTTGAGAACCACCATCATAGATGAGATTACAAGGTTGTGTACTAAAATCTAATAGTATTTATCCTCAGGTGATGAAATTACAAGTGATTTTTATTTACTTTAGTTTATTAGTATTCCCCACATTTTTTAAAAGAAAAAAATTAAGTTATTTTAAAAAATCATGGCTTCTTTTTTTCTGTCTTATGTGTGTCATGGTGCTTTCTGTATCTTATGTGTGTCTCATATGTGTCACTATGGTAAACCAGTGATTTACAGCCTTCTTAAAACCCAAACTCACTAGATAAGATGACTGTTAAATCTTGTTTTTGTGCTTAGTAATTATAAACATGATATTGGACTTTTAAATAATGATAATAGAGATATTTTATGGTTTATGATGAGCCAGGCACTCAATTCTGAACTGACTCTCTTAATTCTCAAGGGCACTATTTTCCACACACTTCTATAATGGTGAGCCAGACCTTAGTGACATATTAAAAATGCACAGATTGATTGTTGAACATCTCAGTATATTTTTATTATACAGCAGCTTTCTAATTTACTTCATTATAGTTTGTTTTCTTAAAGCTCAGTGGGATTACCTCTTTGATTACAGTACTTTTAAGTGTTTACTTAACAGGCGGACTCTGTCTAGAGCTTCTTAATAAAAGGGCTCCATCTAGTGGAGCAATCAACCATATCGCAGGACAGACAGAAGTAGCAAGGTTAAATCCCTTTACACTAAGGCCTAAAAAGGATGACAATCTCAGAGAAATGATGTTTGCTCTGACATGTTTGGGGCTTAGTTTTCACCTGTCTTGATAAAACAGGAAGAAGATGAAGATGCTGTATATGGAGGTAGGGTGCATGCAAGTGCTCTGGGATTGGCTATACAAATACAAGGCATTGGTCACCATCCTAGTAAGACACTACAGTCACTCTACTCTGTGCAGTTTAAAAAAACAGAACAAAACAAAACAAAAAAAGCCCTAATACACGAAGGCCCTTTCTAGGCTTGGGACAAAACCAAAAAGAGTTTGAAGGTCATCATTATCCCTAATAACTAGCATATGCCCAGTATTATGTAGGTGCTTAATAAATGCTTGCTGAAAAAAAGTCCACATACTTTCATAATAATTCTTTGGTTGAGTAACTTTTAGAAGAACTACACAGCAATATTTCCACTATCTGAGATTCCTTTACTTCATTGCCTCAGTTAGCCAGACATGGGAAACTCAAAAATGCCTCAGTATATCCAAGGAAAAATCAAGGCTTGTTCTTCAAGTTCTCTCATGTATATGCTCTTTCAACATCAAACATTTATTGAGTGCCTCCTATCACACCAGTGCTGATAGTAAAAAGAAAAAAAAATCTGAAGCCCCTGTCTTTAAAAATTCCCTTACTCAAATTAAAAACTAAAGCCCACTGTACATTAAAAGAATCAATTTGGAAAGCTAGAAGAGGAAAGCAGAAACTTTAGAAGCAAGTACATCAATCACAGCAAAATGTAACAATTCATATCCTTTTAACAATGGAGTGGAACGTACAATCTGGAAACCCTGAATGAAGTTCTGTGCTCAAAAAATAGAGACACCTGGAGCAATTAGCTCTTTAACAGCTCAGTGATCCTAAAGAATAACTGTAGTTTTGAATGGATGGACATGAAGATTCTCCTAGAAAAAGTTATATAACTTTCAAAAGCCAAAATCATACTCTTGAAAATTGTCCCCCAAATGACTGTCATTAAAGGTGTACACGGGGTTATGACAACTTCTGTCTTTTATGAAATCTGTTTTTTAGAACACTTATTCTGTGAAGATTTTAGCAAATGAGGCATCATTGTAACAATCTGAGATGTTATATGCTGTTTACAGACATCACCTCTTGTGAAGGACCAGCGGACATGGATCTGACCACCTGCTTACCTGAGGGGCAGAGCTTTCACAGATGAACTGTCATGTCAATACAAGGCAACGGTGTCATTGCTATTTTATTTTTTCAATGCATTTAAGGGTATGGAGAACTTACCGCCCAGAAGAAACTGGTTTAGGTGAACCAACATTTTCAAACAGCTGGGCTTTTGCTGCCACTCTGAAAAATAATTTTAAAATGCATGTTTCATGTAGTCAGTTAGAAAATCCTTCTGCTCAAAGTGAAATTCAGGGTTATCAGTTAAACAAACAAACAAACAAACAAAATTGAAAAACCATCACCAAAATTTAACTTGACTTTTAATATTTTTGCGCATTAATGTGAAAGATTTTTAGCACTAGCTTTCAGCTCACAAAGTATCATACTGTAATAATGCTATAGCTATTTCTTCTGGGGGGGTCTTACTGTTCTCATCCTTTTTACCTCAGAAAACTGTGGGAGAAGTAAAAGGAACATTGTCTCCCCACTCTGTTCCTGGCACATGCTACCGACTCCTGTGGAGCCACAAGAGAAAAATCAAAGAATCAAATCTACACGACAAAAGTACTGTTGTTCATTCTGATAGCTAAGAAAAAAATAATTCTAAAATTGTTTTATGTATTTTCTTATATTTGAACATATTTCCTACAAAGTAAAAGGGCAAACTCTGAAAACATGGCCAATAAATAAATTTGTGAATTCAAACCTTGTTTCAAATCATGTGTGTGTGTGTGTGTGTGTGGGGGGGGGGGTGATCTATTTGAAGAAAAATCCCATATTTCTTTAATTGACAAACTCTTCTCCCAGAGCCAAGCCATTTGATAATCTCAAAGATCATTTTACACCTAGTATAGAATATACACTCTCTCATTTTAATTTTTACTTTATCAGTACAATCACAAAACACAAGCTCTTCTCTCTCCTCCACAAAGAATGTAGTTGACATTCTCTCATATTCCTTGATATACTGGCTTAAAATTTAATTTCCCTTAATGTCTGGAACTATACACACTGGTAAATAAACCAATTTACAAATGTATTTGTCTATACCACTGAAGCTGGATTTCTGACCACGAGAGAGTGTATGTTGAATACACTGTGCAAACAAAAGGTTCTTGTCAAAGGAAGGGATGAATAAATGAATTTAAGACACTGTTCTGGCCAAGGGTAGCCCCTCCCCATCTGGAAGCAGGTGAGAGAGCATGCCCAGGGTTCTAGGGAGGAGCCAAGGGCAGACCCTGCCAGCTGGAAACAGGCAAGAGAGCATGCTGAAAACACCACTTCCATGCAGGTGGTCCACCACAGCCACTGCCACAGTTGCTGCAAAAGCAGCTCACCACCACAGTAGTAGCACAGCCATTGTGCAAGAGGCCCACCAAACACTCAACTGCATTGACACTAGGAGAGTCACTAGTGGAGACCAGAAAAAGAAGAGGAAGTCTCTCTCCTGAAAGCCTACTTCAAAGTAAGATAAGCAGCAACTGGTCTACCAGATGACCACACATCTGCATAGAGATACAAGAAATATGAAAACCCAAGAAAATATGACACCACCAAATGAATGCAGTAATTCTCAAATACCAGACCATATAGAGCAGGAAACCCTTGAAATAACTGAAAAGGAATTCTGAGCAACAATCTTAAGGAAACTCACTGAGATAAGACTGTTAGACAACATAATGAAACAAGAAAAAAATCCAGGATATGAAGGAGGAAATTTACAAAGACAATAATACCTTAAAAAAGAAAAGCAGAACTAATAGAACTGAAAGATTCACTCAACTAAACAAAAAACAACTGAGAGCTTAAACAGCAGATGAAAGAATTTCTGACCTTGAAGATAGTCTTTTCAAAATAACCCAGGCAGACAAAAAAAAAAAAAAAGGAAAAAGAATTTTAAAAAATGAAGAAAATCTAAGAGAGCTAGCAGACAACCTTAAGTGCACAAACATTCGAATCATGGGTGTTTCAGAAGGGGAGGAGAAAGGAAAAGGTATGGAAAACCTATTCAATGAAATAATAATGGAAAGTTTCCCAGGTATAGGGAGAGCCACAGACCTTCAGATCCAGGAGGCTCGAAGATCCCCAAACAGATTCAACCCAAAAAGATCTTCTCCAAGACACATTACAGTCAAACTGACAAAGCACAAAGATAGAGAGAGAATCTTAAAAGAAGCAAGAAAAAAGTGTCAAGTCATCTATAAGGGAGCCTCTTTCAGACTAACAGCAGACTTCTCAACAGAAACTCTACAGGAGAGAAGAAAATGGGATGATATATTCAAAATATTAAAAGAAAAAAAACCCTGCCAGCCAGGAATACTATACCTAGCAAGCATATCCTTCAGAAATGTGGGGAAAGTAGTGTAATTTCCAGACAGACAAAAATTGTGGGAGTTCACCACACATGGCCAGCTGTATAAGAAATCTTCAAAGAAGTCCTGCATCTAGAATCCAAAAAACGATAATCACTACCATGAATACACAAGAAAGAACAAAACTCTGGTAGAACAAAAATGCAAACAAGAAAGAAAAAGAAACTAAATCTTACCACCACAAAAACCCATAAAGACAATGTAAGAATGCCCCAGCTTTATTTTTGATTTTAGTAATTTTGGTCTTCTCTCTTTTTTCTTGGTCAGTCTAGATCAACAAATTTTGTTGACCTTTTTAAAAGAAAAAAAAAAGATTATTTTCATAGGACATACCAGCAAAAAAATAAAATGAAAATAAAATAAATTGAGAAGTGTCCCCTCCTCATCTACTTTCTGGAAGGATTGAGTGGAATTGGTACTAATCTTTAAACTTTTGTTAGAATTCTCCAAATAAACCATCTGGGTCTGGAAAATATTTTGGGAGAGTTTTTAAATTTATGAATTAAATTTCTGAATTAGTTTTAGGGATATTCAAATTATTTTATATTGGGTGTTTTGATAGCTTGTGTTTTTTGAGGAATGATCTGTTTCTTCTAAATTGACAAATATACTGTTGTTCTGTTAATACTGTTGTGTTACACACAGTATTCCTTTGTTATCCTTTTGATGGCTGCCTGTAGTGATGCCCCATTTTATTCCTGATATTAATAATTTGTTTTTCTTTGTCAGTTTCTCTAGACGTTCCTTAATTTTAACAATCTTTTCAAAGAACCAACTCATTGTTTTATTGATTCTTTAATTTTTGCTTTGTTTGTAATTTCACAGATTTCTGCTTTTATCTTTATTATTTTCTTTGTCCTTTGGCTTGGGAATTACTTTGCTCTTCTTTTTTTCTTGGCTCTTTAAGGTGAGATCTTACATTATTGATTTGAGAGTTTTCCTCTTTACTAATGTATGCATTTAGTGATATAAATTTTCCCTCTTTGCACTGCTTTTGCCATGCACCACAAATTTCAGTGTGTTATATATTCATTTTCATTTAGTCTGATGTATTTTTTATTTCCCATTAGATTTCCTCTTTGACCCGTGTATTACTTAGAAGTGTGTTGTTTAGTTTCCAAGTGTTTGGTTATTTTATGTTATCTTTCTCTTACTGATTATTAGTTTGATTTCTTTATGGTCAGAGAACACTCTGTATGATTTAATTTTTACTTTTGTTGAGTTTTTTTATGTGTTTGCTTTGGTTTTGTGTGTGTGTGTGTGTGTGTGGCCTAGGATATGGTCTATTTTTGTATATGTCCATAAATGCTGGAATGTGTTTGCTTTGGTTTTGTGTGTGTGTGTGTGTGGCCTAGGATATGGTCTATTTTTGTATATGTCCATAAATGCTGGAAAAGTCTGTGTATTCTATTGTCATTGGGTACAATGTTCAATAAATATTGATTAGATTCTGTTTAAAAAAAAAAGACACTGTTCCTATGGAGACTGGCTGAGTAAAATGTCTTACCGGACGTTTACTGAATAATTAAAATATCAGAAATACCATCATATTAAAAATGAGTGTGGTATAACAGAAAGAACACAGAATTGAAGTTAGAAAACCCTAGGTTGGAATCCCAGCTCTGCCAATTACTAGCTGAGTGTGTGTGTGGACTAGTTTCTTAAAATTTCTAAATATCAGTTCTCGTCAACTCAATGGTCTAAACTAACTATTGCAGAAGGACTCTGTAGATCCTAAAAGAGCCAACATATGTAAAGCCACCAAATAATAGCTCATATGGCTAGAAAATGCTTAGTAAATATCAGGAAAATGAAAGAGAGAGAAACTGTTCCTCTCTGGATTTTGCTGACTTGTTTATCAGGTTCCCATTTGTTTCTCCTTGCCCCCTTTATGTTTACATCTGTGCACCCCTCTAATAGACTTCTCATGTCTGGGTCATTTCTCTGATCAGAAGAACTCCCCTCCTTCTGCCTTTCATGTTCCTTGTTCTCTATCAGCTTGTTTAAATCACTGAGGACTGAGGTAGGGCAGGCATAGGATGGAGAGGGGAGAAAACCAACCTTCAATAGTTAGAAAGCAGCTGTATTTCTAACAAACCCAGAGGGGAGCTGGGATCTAGGCCTGGCTTATAGTCACTGCATGCCAGTCTCTTCAGCTGAAAGGTGGATGTTTAGCCTTTCTAGGGAGGCTTTTAGTTTCAAAACCCATAACTATTATATCACATATCCATTTTCATGTCCTTAAACTAAGTCATAGTTCTGCTTCTAAGGAAAGTGCTTGAAGTGCCACCCCATGAGATTCCTAAATCTACTCTAACATTTTCATCACTTTTAGAAGAAGATAGAGTCCTACAGACGTTGACTGTACTCACTCTACAGAAGAGGGTCTTCTAAACATATTCAACCCATCTGAATGCCTGGAAGACACAGCAAATATAAAATCTTTCTCACTTACACCGAGCCAGGTCGCTGATAGCCATTGCTTGAGGCAGTGTCTAGCCTTAATCTCCTGCACATTTTTGGAGGCAGGTCTGGGTTTGGTGGGGCTTTGGACGTCTCTTTGGAACCTATAGAAGTTAAGCTTTGAATGGATCCACTGTAGCTCTTGTTTCCTAGAGAAAGCCCAAGATAACAGGCGAGGTGCTATTAGACAAAATAATAGCAATAACACAGTACATGTGCATAACAAAAGGAAGCATTTTTCTCTGAGCTCAAATGGGAAGGTACAGAATGTTCTTTGAGCACAGCAACCCATCACTCAGGGAGATCAAAATCTACAGTAATTACAAAAACATCACCTTACAGCAACAGAGAGATTTAGGGAAAAAAGTCACAGCACACAGAAGTTTTAAAATCCAGGCTCAGGAACAAAGTAGATAAACATCATTAGTTTCTTCACCATTAACTTTACCCCTGCTTAATCATGCTGAATAACCCAGCAAGGGACACTGAGACAATGACATCTTGCACAAACTCCACTCTGGCTTACCTTCTGCTGCAGGAATGGATCTGAGAGAGGAAGCGGAGGCTCTTTTCAGTCCTGAAAGCCCATAAGGCCCTTTCTTGACTAGGTCTACGGGTGGGGAAATGTCCCCTGGGCTAGTGACCGAGGCAACGCTCTGGCAATCTGATTCTGCATCTGTTTTGGTTGCATCTTCTCTAGAACTCGACTCAGGACTAGTTGTCCAGAGACCAAGGCTTTTTTGTCCATTGGAAGATGATGGGGTTTCAATCCAGGGAATCCCTCCAGATTTCTCCCTGGGCTGGCAGGAAGCTGACTTTGTGGTGCTATTTTGCTCAGAGGAGTGAGAGGAGAGCGACTCAATGCTACCCATGGGTGTGCTGTCTGGGCTGCTGCTATAGGAGTCACCTGGAGGAGCAGGAGGGAGAGAAAAAGCAGTTAACAATAGCTACCTGTTGATGACAGCATCCCCCAAACCTTTCTCCCTTCCAGCTAATCATATGCTCATGGCCACCTGACCCCATTTAAGTTGTAGGCCTTTACCTGGTATGAGGACTGTCCTCAGTACTGCAGAAAGGCTTTCAAATGTGCATTTGAACTTGGTGAATGCATTTTTCAATATAGGTTGAGCCTACAAAATCTGAAACTCTTAATGCTCCAAAATGTGAAACTTTTTGAGTGCCAACATGACACTCAAAGGAAGAGTTCATTGGAGAATTCTGGATTATTTGCATTATTGCATTAAGTATAATAAGTATAATACAAATATTATACTTAATGCAAATATTACAAAATCTGAAAAATTCAAAAATCCGAACCACTTCTGGTCCCAAGGATTTCAGATAAGAGATACTCAACCTGTATTATTCTAAGAAGATTTTATATGTACCAAGAAATAACTGCCCTTATATAATAATTTTACTTCCTAGTGGGCTGACTTGAATTCAGTCAAAGCTTGTTTCTGAAACAGAACTCAGAAGTAAGTAAAATAAGATTCTTTCATGATATTACAAGAAATCAATGAAAGGGAATATATTAAAGACATATTTCTGCCTTCTTTTACTTTTCTGATCATAGGTGATTCTGAGTTACAATGTACTGGAGTCCACGCAAAGGACCCATTAAATGTCAGTAGCAAATCATAAGCTGCTCACTATTTTCAAAGAAAGGATTTTTTTTATTTTTCTGCTAAGAATATAGAAATATAAGAAACTGGTTGCAAAGGACCCATTAAATGTCAGTAGCAAATCATAAGCTGCTCACAATTTTCAAAGAAAGGATTTTTTTTATTTTTCTGCTAAGAATATAGAAATATAAGAAACTGG